CCCTGAATACTGTTGCAGGCAGAGAGAACAGCAGGGGCAAAGGTCTCAAAAAGGGAGGAAGAAAGGGCCTACAGCAGAAGAAAGCCAGCGTGCTGGGAGCCCAGCACTGTGGCGGAGCATTATGAGAAGCCTGGAAAGAACTACATATACCCTTCTACACCTCAGCTACCATATTTATGAAAAGATAATCGTCCCCCTTGTTTCATAGGCTTGTCTTCAACAATAAGCAAGAGAATGAAGGTGAAGACCTAATATGTGCCTAAACATTGCTGGAACTTGATAAATCACAAGCTGCTGGTGGATGCTGACCCTCGGGAAAAGTTTTCCTGCAACAGATAGAGGATGGAAGAAGGTGGTGGTCTTCCCCAGTGCCCAGGGGTCTTGCAAGGCAAAAACTCTGGGGCTTCACCCACCGAGCTGAGCAACACTTGCTGCCAGACATTCTCATCTGAAAGTGAGATTTCACAAGAATGTTATGCCAATATTGTTATAAAAATAAAAATGGGAAACAATTCAATATCTGTCGACAGAAGCCTGGCTAAATAAATCATGATATTGTCAATTCAAGGGAATACAATACAGTTCTTAAAAAGAATGACAAAGATCTACATGTAAAGTAAAATTAAAAAAATCTCTAAAGTATTTGTTAGCGCATGGGGGCATACAGAACAGTGAATGTAGCAGGCTACCAGATACTAAAACATGCAGGTGTTTGGAAAGACAATCCAAGACTAGTCATTGGTATTACCATGGGGCAGGAAAACTAGGGGACAGGGATGTGGGGGGGGATTTATTTTTCACTGAACTTCCTTTTATACTACTTGACTGTTTAGCAATGGGAGTAATGAGTTTCATCAAGAGTCCAAAATTTTCTAAGTTTCCACTGTTTAAAGAAAAATCCAGTCTTTCAAGGCAGATAGACCCAGATCTGCCAGTTCCCACTGTGTGATGTTGGCTGAGTTACTTTATTTCTGAGTTTCCTCTTCTGCAAAATGGGATCATAACAGTAGTTACTGCTACAGTTGGTAAACAATGTTAGCTATTAAAATTAGAAGTGATGATTTGTATTAGCTGGCTTATTGTTTTTACAGTTCACAAGGAGAATAGTACACTGAAGCTGCTCTCTGGAAATGCATCTGCAGTGAAAGTACTCACCCATCTTTCCTTCAGCATAAAGGACACACAAGCCTCCCACAGAGTCTAGACCTATCCTATGGAATGGGACCACCACTCCTTGGTCCTCACCTGCCAGCAGGTCCCTCTTTAGTAAGGTGGGCCTTGGAGAGTGTCAGGACCTTGGAACTACATAGGGAGGCAGGAGAGGCATGCCTGCCCACAGCCCGCCCCACTCACACTGGGAAACTGAGGGCAGCACCGGGACTTCTCCATCCCCGCAGCCTCACTGTCCTCTCTCAGCTGCAGGGAAAGGAGGAGCCACGTTAGACACTGTCCAAGGCTTTAATGTGGGGCAAACTGGGAAGGCCACTGCAGAAGGGCTCAGGACCTTGCTCAGAAGGTCAGTGGGTAACACATGGGAGCCCCTCATAAGTGCTCCTCCCAATTTCCTAGGGTTGGTGGAACGTGGAGAAAGAGAATAGACGTTGTGATTAAACCTGAGTTGGAATCTAGTGAACATACTCAGTGAAAGATGTGGGGCCTCTGAGAGCCTCACAGAGATAAAATCACCTTCCACAAAGGGGTCCTAGAGTACAATAGGTTTTTATTAAAGGTGTTTCCTTCTTAGGAAACCTGAACCTCCCTAATTAAAGAAATCCTTTTATGAAGGCTTATACAAAGTCTTGAATTATGAGGGATAGAAAACAAACTCACTCAGGGACTCGCCCACAGTGCCTCAAGCACAGGAAGCAACATTCAACATGCCTGACTCTCATAAACAGAGCTGGACAGGAACCAGCACTCCTGCACCTCCTGGTGGAGGCACATACCACATCCTCTGTCAGCACAGAACCAGACCTGAAACTCACTGCGCTTGCAGAGCTCGTGACCAATCCAAACAGAGAAACGTGGGGAGCATCACCACAGGGCTGCAATCAACAAAATCCAAAACAGGAAAACCTACAGTTCAAAAGGCCAAGTTCCTTCAACAGGAACAGCAAGAAGGCAAGAGGAAAGAGAACAGAAATATAGAGGGGAATATGCAGATGACAGTAGACTGAAGAGACCTATCCCCCAATGCGATATGTGTACTTTATCAGGATTCTGATTAGAGCAAATAATTTGGAAAAACATTTAAGGAAATTGAACACTGATTAGACATTTGATAATAAAGGAATTACCATTAATTTTTTAGACATGCTAATAGTACTATAAGTATCTTTCAGTGATAAATATTAAAATATTTAGGAATAAAATATCCAGGCTTGAGTAGGCATCCAAATATTGCAAATATTGGGAAATGACAGGACTGAGTATGAATGAAGCAGGAAGGACTGTCAGTTGATTATTGTTAAAGTTCAGTGATGGGGATTCATTAAATGACTCTTTCTGCTTTTACATTATGTTTGAAATTATTAAAAGTAAATGATTAAACCACAGGCCGGGAGGCTGGGAGGGAATATTTATAACAAGTATAAATAAAAAAACATTTTATATATATAAACTGCTACAAATCAGTAGGGAAAGGAAACAGAATCCAATAGAAAGAAAATGGGCAAAGACCATGAGAAACAACTCACAGAGGTGGAAACCCAAATGGGCAATAAACAAATGAAAAGACAGTCCAGCCCTGGTTGCTGTGGCTCAGTGGACTGAGCATTGGCCCGTGAAGGTTCTCTCTCCGATTCCCAGTCTAGGGCACATGCCTAGATTGTGGGCCAGGTCCCCAGTTGGAGGTGTACAGGAGGCAGCCAATTGATATTCCTCTCTTACGTCAATGTTTCTCTGTCCCTCTGTCTTCCTCCCTCCCTTCTTCCTAAAAATAAATAAAATTAGGAAAAAGAAAAGAGGATCCACCTTATCTGTCAGAGAAATAAAACGTAAAGCCGCCTCATACCCAAATGTGTTAGTAAGAAAATAAAAGTGCTGAAAGGAAGACTTGCCCACTGATAGAGGGAATCACAAATACGTATTTTTACTTTACAATGCAGTAAAACTCTGTGCAGTTTAAGACACAGCACCCCACAACTCAGGAATTTCACACTTAGACATTGACTTGAAGGAAACATTCGGGTGATGAACCGAGGTAGGAAGTGATAATAAATGGCTACTAAGATCAAAAAGAGACAGACAAATAGACATTGTGCATTTCCTGAAAGAAAACATCACTCCAATAAGAATTATGTCTTTAGCAAAATTAAACCTGATCAAAGTTCAAAAGCCAATGTAAGGAAATACAGTTAACAGAGCAGCATGTCAAACAGCACTGATTAGAGATACAATCAGGTGGTAAAAATGACCCAGGGTTCAATAAATAAATTGTTAAAAAAAAAAAAAAAAAAGAGAGAGACACAAATGAGGGCTCTAAAGAATGAAAAGAAATATAAGAGAATATTTAAATTCATAGAGACAGCAAGTAGAATACGGATTTCCAGGGCCGGGGGGAGAGAGGAATGGGGAGTTAAAGGGAGGAGGAATGAGTGTACAGTTTCAGCTGGGGAAGACAAAACTTCAAGTTCAGGAGATGATGACGGACAGTGGTGATGGTGACACAGCACCGTGAATGCACCCAGTGCCACGAAACTGTACACTTAAAAAAATGCTAAAATGGTGAATTTTTTATGTTATGTATAGTTTACTACAATTTAAAACATCAAGAGCCATGACCAATATAACACTTGGACCTTGTGATTCAAAAAACTATAAAAAATTATGAGACAGTAAATTTTAACACTGATATTTGATGGAACAAAGGAATAATAGGTAATGGAGGAATGACGATGATATCACACTTATATTTTCTTATTTTTAAATGCCCCCCTGACATATACACACACTGAGATATCTGTAGATAAACTAACATTCAGTATCTGATCCAAAACTATGCAGAAGGGGCAAGTAGGTATGGATAAACTCAAAAAGATTAACCAGAATTAATAACTCAATTTAACAATGGATAGATAAGATGCCTTATACTAATCTGCCTACCTTTGGGCATTTCATATTTGTTTTAAATGAAAAAGAAACTATTATAAATGTGTTCAGAAGGACAAGATGCTCTCAGCATCATGGTTGTAACAACAGAATGTCAGGAACAATCTGAATATCTGTGGACCTATGACCGGATTAAAGATATGTGGTATTTCATTTGGCAGAGAACTAAAATCAAGAAAGTGAATGAACCAGATCAGGAGTTCTCCACCAGGGGTGACTTTGCCCCCAGGAGACATCTGGCAATGTCTGGAGACATCTCTGGTGCCAGGACAGAATGGGTCCTACTGGCCTCTGGTGAGCAGAGGTCAGGGATGCTGCTAAACATCCTACATGCACAGAATAGTCCCCCTCCCCAAATAATTATACAGCTTAAACTATCAAGGTGATACAGTTTAAAATCTCTATGCTAGCTCCATATAGGATAGTCTTCAAATCTAGTATTGAATTAAAAACAAACAAATAAACAAAAACAGGGAGCAAAGAGATATGTAAAAGTAGTACCATGTAGGTAAAAGTTACACAAAACCAATATTGTTTATTGCTCATAGGAATTTATCTATGTAGTAAATTATAAAAATACAGAAGAGAAGGCTATCGATACTGAAGGCAGGAGTATGAAATGTTGCAGAGGTGGTGTCAACAGAATTTGTAGCATTTATTTTATTTATTCCATCCCTCCTACCTAAAAATAAAGCAAATGTCATTAAGGTTAATACATATAAAATCTGGATGGTAGGTACATGAATGCTCACTCTAGACACTGGTCTTTCCCATACCCTTGCCATTGCTAACAACAAACAAACTAAACAGCGGGGCTGTGGACAGAAGAGCTGGGTGGACAGACAGAGACTGAGCACCAGGGCAAGACCGAGATGTTCCCGAGCACTCACCGGCCCCCGGAGGTCGATGAGCTCCTGCCTCATCTGGGACACGAGGGCTTCCTTGGCCACGAGGGCCCTGTGCAGGCGCTCGTTGAACTCAATCAGCTCACCATGCATCTCCGCCACCTGGAACACATAAGCACGGAACCATGAGGCTCAGAGGGCAGACCCTTCCCAAGGACTTCCCCGCTGCTCTGGGCCCACTTATCATAACAGCCAGGCATCAGGAGGTTGTCTGGGCTGGAGACTAACATGGCTCACCTACGAGCTATGCAAATCCACCCAAATGTTGGATACATTTTACTACTTGGTTGACTTTTTAACACTATGAAATCGACAGTCCGCAGTATGTTTTATGATCAGAACATGACTGTATCAGGTCATTTTGTACCTTAGGCTTTTATTCTTAATTAATGAACACGTTTCTAGCAACACTTTTCTTTCTAATCTAAGTTATATCTGTCGAGAATTTCCCTGCTAGGGGCACCAGTAGAATAACTGACCATTTCTGTTCATCAGGGCCTTGGCTCTGAAAACCAAGGACACAGAACCAGAGCCTGCAGAGATGATGACAGCGATGGTGACAGATGCAGCTGCAGCAGCACAACCCCTCCTCAGTCACTGTTTACTTAGTCTATGCCAGGAAAACACTTCCTGTGTAGGCCTTGTATCTTTGTTCCAACAGTTCTGGTAGAACGAGGCAGGTAATATTATTCCCACCTTACATAAAGAGAAACATGCTGTAGTTTAAGGTGCTGGGTCAAGGTCATGAAGCTAATGAAGGACTGAACCTGGAGCCCTAGCCCTTGAGGGACCACTGGGCTACCTGCCACAGTCCTACCTCTCCACTGTGCCCAGATATAACCCACGCGGGCCCACTGTGAGCCCTCAAAGTTTTCCACATTCATGCAATACACCTAGCTGACACCAAATAAATAAAAACAGTGGTAGCTGTAAGGTAATCTATGATGTAGAATGAACAACAGATCTTTCCAGCTACAACCTACAAAAAGCTCAAAGATATCCCATATGGTCAAGGCACTTATGATGCTCTCTATAATGCATAAATATCAGACCATTTGCAGTAAGTACTTTATATAACATATAAAATGCGTCATCAGAATTAAGAAAGGATATTGAAAGAGGCTTTAGGAAAAAAAAGGATCATTAACCTGAGTCTTGATGCCTCGGGAGGAATAAAAGGGAGCCCTCTGTTTTTTTGGATATGTTATTATGTAAGAGGTAAAAGGCCAAAAAGGAAATACAGCAGAATATTAACATTCATCAAAGTCTATTCTTTCTATTTTCCCTTAGTTTCTAGTTTCCTAAAAAGGTGCACTTTCATTTATCAGCCAGGATATCCACTAGACTCTTTACCAGAATTAAAACTCTTCACATGAAACTAAAGGAAGCCACAGTGCAACCAATGTCAAATTTATCAGGCTCCCAGTTATAATCCTGAAGCTTCCATTACCTTGTCCTGTGAAGCCCCACCCTGCGAATAGCACCCTCTTTTGTCCCTTTGGTACCCATTTTTTTTCAAACCAGCATGAAATGCAAAGTGGAAGTGGCACAAAAGATGCTGCAAGAACCATGCAATTAACAAAGGGAGACCACTGAGCTTTAAACAGTTTTTTCCTTGTACAGACCTAAAATTAATATTCTCCACTAGCCTTACTCCTTTTGTATTAAAAAAAAAACAACTTTTGATCTTCCTTTGGCCTTTCACAAATAAATACAATATCACTAATAATGCCTGTGTGGATTCTCTTCACAGTAATCACATACACCCTCCATAAACTTTCACATGGCTGAGAATCCAGTTACCCCACAGTCAGCAGGAAGCACACAACTGGCAATGTTCCTGCTGAACACCTGCTAATATGCCCCTGCAAAATTCAAGTTTTAAATCAATGCCACTCTCACTTCCAAAGCAAAGCAGGTTTTTGTTTCGTTTTTGTTTTTATTTTGTTTTACAGTGGGAGACAGAATGTTTAAACAATTTTCCATAGATGCATAAATCATCAGAACACCCCAGCTATAAGAAGTGTTTATCGTGAGATGTCAAAAGCCTGGTTTTCTTTTGAAGCCAGAAAAGTGACTTGACCACGTCAGACGAAGCTTTCATTTCACCAGGGATTGGGGGAAAAATCCAACGGCACTGAGGAGACAAAATGTAATGAAATAATTTCCAGCAGCCATTAAAATCGCTATGTTCATTGCTGTAGCTCAGCTCTGAAATTCTGAATTTTGTATTAGATATCCCTATGTACAGCCACTGGTATAAACAGCTTTCATCTTACACAAACCATACTGAGCTTAATGTTCCTCAAATAACTCTTTCCAAACTCTGGAATAACTAGAAATGAATTCAAAACTTAGAGTGAGCCTCAGAAGAGGAATCTGAGATCACAAATAGTTCCCATTATCATAAAAATAACAGCAGGCTACACAACCACTGCCAGCTGGAATTTCTATTAGGTTCTGAGGGCACTTACAGGTCCAATCTAACCTTCATTTCTTATTTTCAACAGCTACAGCAGGAAATAGGGCAGAAAGAAAACACGTGCCTGCCAAACCATTCTTTGCCAAGTAGGCAGAGTGGTTTTTCCAGAACAACATCAGATATTGTCACCTGCTTTTTAAAACCTTCAGTGCTTCCCACTGTCCTAAGGATAGAATCCAAACACCCTTAAAATCTGGCACCAGCCTCTCTAACCCTATCTCCTGCCCACTCCTTTTCAGTGCCTTACTAACTTTCACTCCGTCCTCCACAGTTCTGTAAACCCGCTGAGCCATAGGTCACCCAGGAGACAAAGAGGAGAAAGGTGCACCAGTGGAGGAAAGACCAGGTGCAAAGGCACGAAGGCTGACAGGGAGGCAGTTGCGAGAGCTGGTTAAGGGTTCGGACTCTGGTGTAAGACAAGCCTGTGCTTGATCACTTATGGACAACGTGCGCTAATACGAGTCATTTAACCTCTATAAGCCCGAGACTGTTCACCTACAAAACGGGAATTAAAACCCATCCCCACTTTACTGAGCCCCTGTGTGGAGGAAGTGAGCTACTGTTCTTAGCAGGCCCAGCCACATGTCGGGGCCTGGCCAATGCTCAGTGACTGAGAGCTGGTTCTGCGTGATGGGTGATCACATAAAGGAAGAAGAACAGGAAGGTCTCCAGAAGCCAGATGGAAAGGGCCATATGTGCTGTACCAAGGAGCTCAGACAGCTGTGGAGAGACTCACTGTTCCCCAAGTGGAAATGTCACCAACAGAATTGTTAGCCAGATGCCAAGCATTGTTCTTGGTGCTGGAGGGGGACAGAAATGTCATGTGGTTCACATCCTCAAGGTGAAATCACTTGGAGCCCCGGGAGAGGAAGACTTGGAAGGAAGACAGCATGTCAGGGAAGGGCTCCCCAAAGAAAACACTGAGAAGTCACCTCTCTAATGGGCCCCAACGCGTGCCAGGCAGCCTCCTCTGGCCGATCTGCGCCCTGAACCATGGTGTGAGCATGCACTATACTCTGGCAGCATCAACACTCAGGGCCACTTTGAGCAGCTGCTGTATATCTTCCTGCTCTGAGCACTTTTATTTCCTTTAAAAATTATCTGAAGGTAGTCGAGGAGGTGCCATTTGACAACACTGACAGTGACAAATCAAAAGCAAATGCCAAGTGGATATACACTAATCACAGCTGACGCAGCTTCACACACAGACCAACATGGACCAAAGGGTTGAGAATGGAGCCTTGATTCTCTGAAAGGCCCAAGGAGAACACCTGGCTGGTAGTAGACATGGTTCCCAAGTTGTGCTTGGAAAGTGCATGCTCATAATTAATAAGGTGTGAATGCTTATCAATCACCATTTGGGTTTCATTCTTTAGACTAGTGAGAAGATAATAGAAATATTTTAGAAGTCACAGGGCTATTTGGCAACATCTACCAAACTTTAAAAATCCTTCATCTGTGACTTGGCCAGTCCCTGCTGAGGGGTTATGCTGCCCCTGTATTTCCACATGTATTTAAAGTAGGAGTTTAATACCAAATGTCAGGAACCTACCAAAATACCCAGCCACTGGGGACTGATCAACTATATCAGGTTCAGCCACTCTCTCCCATGCCCTGCCCCTTGGCAGACATCTCTCATCAATGACAGCACTCCTTCCTCAAGAAGACACCCAGGCAGCCATAACCAATCAACCAGTGTGTGGAGTGGCTAGGCTTATGAAATGGCACCTATTTGGTATTGCTGGCATAAGAGTAGAGGAAAGTGTCATCAAGAAGGTGATGTTTGAGTTGGGCTTTAGAAGATGCCTTTAGAGCTTCAGGAGACTGAGTAATCCATTCCAGCTGAAACATCATAGAAGATGATCTCCCAAAATAATGTGGCTGTGAAAAAGCTTTTAAGTCTGTGAAAATCTCAGAAATTATCATAATTACCTGCCAAATCATGAAAGGATTATAAATGTTTTTAAATGCCTCTGGCACTTCCTTTCATATCAGAATGTCCTATCTAATCACATTCAAGTAAATCATGCGTTGCCCTCCTTCGGCTAATTACCTGCTTCCAGATTAATTAGATCAAGATACCCCCATCTCCAAATTTTAATAGCAACCGAGGCTCTTTTGGTCATAGACCCAAACTCTCCAAGAATGATCACTTGGAAGCCTCGGAATCTACCTAGCTTAGATAAAATGCCCAAGTGTTTGGTCCCATTTACACTGGCTGTGGGGAGGGATCTGGAAGCTCCTTTTGTGATGATGACTGCACCTGCCTCAGTAAAGACCAAGACCTCACCAGTGCCCATTTGCCTTAAGATACCTTGGAGCACCATCTATGTGCCAGGCCTTCTCCCGGCATCATATCCATCAGCTCTTGTGAGCCTCGCAACCCTTCTACAAGGTGGGCCTGCCTTTCTAAGCATGAGGCCCGTAGGCTCAGGGAGTCAGGAATGGGTAGGACAAGGGTGGCCCTCTATCTGTGCTCTTCGAACTCCTCCTTGGGGTGTGGTAGAAAGCCAAGCTCTTCAGGGGTTCAGGAGATGAGTTTGTCCCACAGAGGAGAGAAGAGTAAAACAGTGTCACCCAGTGGTGCCCTAAGAAAGCTGATCATTAGTCACTTGGAGTG